CTCTCGGCCTGTTACCTTCTCTGACCCCCCCTTCTCACCCCTCGCTTTTAATCAACTGATCTGTGGTGAGAAAGAAGCAAAAGGCAAGAATTTGTTTCTCTGTTTAATGTTCTCATCTGTAAAACATATGAACCAGGAGGTGAATCATGGACCGACTTGCTTGCAAACCCGAGTAACTGGTGGGACAATAGGCTGGACAAGGTGACATTCCAGATTCTATATATAGTATTATTACCATTACCCTTTCCTCCCTCACTTTCCTTCTTGGTTTTACACATTCATTCATATTTCATTCTTTTATCCGAGCAGAAACATCCGAGATCTCCGGACTTCAAGCACAAAGAAACCGGTGTATCTCTGTGGCTGAGCGATTCCCCGAGTTGGGTCCTACCGAAGTTGCCTCCTCTGAAGGGAAAAGCGGCTGCAGCCTCTGAGAAAGACGATACATGGATATCTCTTGACATGAATTGAAAAAACAAAAGAGGAGAGAGATTCATGGGACAGAGAGCATTTTGTAAGTAATTTGAATCCCAGAGTGTCTTTCTTCTTTTCTTTTTCTTTTTTCTGATCAACTTTTGGATACTGAAAATTGAACGGTTCTTTCCAATCTGTTGTCTTTAACCAGAGATTGGATCTCTCTGTTTGCCCAAAGATTGCTTCTTTTTCCACTATAAACAGGGTGATGAAAGGACTTGGGCCAATTTTTGTCTCTATGCATGACTTGGTGGTTGATGGTATTACACTTCGTTTAGTCAAAAAAATAAACGAACAGGTCTTTTGGTCTTGCAGATTTTGACTTCGAAAGCTGAATCTATATAACAACTCTGTTGGTTATCATATTTTTCTGCTTTCTCAGAAGAAAAAAAAACTCTGCAATCTTGGGTAAAAATAAAAACTTCAGCTTTCCAACCATATTGAAATATATATACATATATATACATATGTATGTGTGTATGAGATGAGATTCTATGCTCATTGGGCTGATGGGAAGTGGGTTCTACTTGAGGTTAAGACTTGTTCAAAGTCAGAAGTTCTGATCAACAAGCAAACCACTTGTTTATTTCTTCTCAGTCAGCAACCTAATCATCTAACCCATAAAAAAAAACACATCCACAGTTTCTGAATTGACCTCTCTCTCCACCTTATATCTTCACCAACCTCTGTACATAGATAGGACAATACACAACAGGACAGACAACAGAAAACTGTTAAGAATCGTCATGGGAATCTTCGAGAGGAGTCTCAGCCGTCGGATCGGCGGTCATCGTGGAGTTCCCGCCGTTTTGTCACTCCTGCTGCTCCTCCAATTCGTACCGTATGGCTCCGGCCAACCGGGAAGTGCCGCTCCGAACAGCAACGGGACAAGAGTCAACGACCCGGTCGCTTTGCTGATCATGGTCATGTTCTTCGTGCTCTTCATCATGGTCCTCGCCTCCATCTTCTGCCGCCGTTACGGAGACACACACCGACCGACGACCTCCGCGACAGAAGCCGGAGTCGGAGGAGTGGTCAGGACGAGGAGATCGGCGGCGCGTGGACTCGACGCGCAGACGATCGAGTCGTTCCCTACGTTTCTCTACTCAGAAGTCAAAGGGCTTAGGATCGGGAAAGGCGGAGTTGAATGCGCGGTGTGTCTGAACGAGTTCGAGGACGACGAAACGCTGCGTTTAATGCCTCCGTGTTGCCACGTGTTCCACGCTGATTGCATCGATGTATGGCTCTCTTCTCACTCCACGTGTCCGGTTTGCCGTGCAAATCTGGATCCCAAAGCGGGTGAGAGCTTCACGTATTTGATCCCCGAACCGGATGCAGATCCCGGTCCGGCCACAGAGACGAGGGTTACGGAGTCTCCCGACGTGCAATTGATCGATCGAATGACGTGGACCAATGGGAATACACCAACTCGATCAAAGTCAACGGGATTCGCCACGTGGGGCATCACCGGGATATTGTTCCCGAGGTCTCACTCGACCGGGCATTCGCTGGTTCAACCGGGCGAGAATCTAGACCGGTTTACTCTCCGGTTACCGGAGGAGGTACATAGACAATTGTTGCAGAGGACTTCTACCCTTAGCCGGACGGTTAACGTGGCGTTACCACAAGCGAGGAGTTCGCGGCGCGGTTACAGGAGCGGTAGCGTTGGGACAGGTGGGAACGCGTTTTCGTACAACCGCAACCGCAATGGCAATCGCCGGGCGTTTTCAATGTCTTTATCATTCTCTTTTCGAAGTGGTTCGGTCCGGTCGTACTTTGGCGGCGGAGATGCGGTGGCTCCGCCGATACCAAAAGAAACCGGTGAACGGCCGTTCGGAAGGCTCCGACCAGATGATCAAGTATAGGCGATTAACATTTATCAAATCATTTTTATTAAAAGGTCAACGGTCGGATTCTTTGCCAGCCTGTTTTGTTACAACTTGCATGCATGTTCATTTTGCCTCGTTGACGAGTTCGAAGGATTACAAAATACATTCCGGCGAACTTTTTGCCCGCGATTTGCACTTCCGTCGATAACACGTCTCGGTCAATTGCAAAACAAAAAAATATGTAATGATGCAAGATTGGTCAATTTATATTTTCTTATAATTTAATCAATGTAATCGCTTTCGTAGCTCAGTTGGTTAGAGCACCCGTTTAGTAAGCGGGAGGTCTTGAGTTCGACTCTCAACGAAAGCATTTTAGATTTTTTTTCACCCACATCTTTTGTCCGGCTCTCACAAACTACCTCAAACTTCAAATATATTTGATTGATGCCTCAAACTTTAGAATGAAACACAAACATCCCCTGCATCCTGTTATATATAAGCTCTCAAAACATGTAATGATACATTATATTAATAAGGAAATAAAATTATGATTTGAGAAAAAATGTCCTTACCATTTTGCACAGCTGTTCTCACTCGGGCATGGAGATAACATAAAATAACCACCGCCATGATCCACTAAGTCAACCATTTCATACTGAAATATCTGTTTGCACTTACTTCAGTGCTCTTATTCTTTGTCCACTTTGTCTTTTTTAAATCCTATTTTCATCACGTTTTTTGTCATGTCAATATATATAATATATATATATATATACCTACAATGTGTGTGTTCATGTGTGTGTATATATATATTCTCTGTCTGCATCTGCACATATTATACAACTTCTGAAACATGGATCTCAAGCCAAACTTCATCTTCTTCTTCCCAATTCTTCTCATACTTATTCTCCCCATAAACCCTAATTTCGTCTCGGCTTCCGCAACTCCGAACCCTAGATGCATCGCTACAGAACGAGAAGCTCTTCTCACCTTCAAAAATGCACTGACGGATTCTTCCGGTCGGCTCTCTTCTTGGACCGGACCCGACTGCTGCAGCTGGACTGGCGTTCTCTGCGGTGACCTGACCGGCCACGTCATCAAGATCGACCTAAGGAACCCGAATCCGATCACTAACTCGGATGAATACAGAAGAGGTTGCTTGGGTGGCAAGTTGCATCCTTCTCTGTCGCGCCTGCGGTTCTTGAGCTATCTTGACCTGAGCATGAACGACTTCGAAGGACTGGAGATCCCGGGTTTTCTCGGCGGCATCATTTCACTGAGCTATCTCAACCTTTCTTCCTCCTCTTTTTCCGGGAAAATTCCAGAGGGTCTTGGGAATTTGTCGAAATTGGAGACTCTTGATCTGTATGCTGAGTCATTTAGCGACTCGGGCGAGTTTTCTTTGCACGCAAGCAACCTCGAGTGGGTTTCGGGTCTGTCCTCTCTGAGTTACCTGGACATGGGGTATGTGAACCTGAGTGATGTCGGTGAAGTTTGGTTAGAAGAATTCGACAGAATCCCGACATTAAAGGAGTTGCATTTGTTCAAATGTGAGCTGAAAAGCTTACCTTCTTCGGTCTCGTCGGTGAATCTGAAACAGCTTGAAGTTCTCGATTTGTCTGAAAATTCTTTGGATTCTCCCGTTCCGGAATGGCTGTTTGGTCTCACCAGCCTCAGGAAACTATTCCTCAGATGGGATTTTCTCAAGGGCTCGATCCCTTCTGGGTTCGAGACTCTAAAACTTCTAGAAGTTCTTGATCTGTCGAACAACTTGTTCCTCGAGGGCGAAATCCCACAAGCTCTTGGCTCCCTTCCTCTGTTGAAATATCTAGACCTTTCTGCAAACAATCTACAAGGCCAAATCCATGGGTTTCTAGATGCTTCCTCCAGATCCAAAGGCGGCAGTAGTCTGGTTTTTCTTGATCTCAGTTCCAATAACTTAGCTGGGACATTACCCGAGTCGCTTGGAGCGCTCAAGAATCTGCAGGTTTTGGATCTTTCTTCAAATTCCTTCACAGGTTCGATCCCGCCTTCGATAGGCAACATGCCGTTCCTGAAAAGACTCGATCTTTCTTTCAATTCCATGGATGGGACAATCCCGGAAAGCTTGGGGAAGCTCAAGGAGCTTGTGGATTTGAATCTGATCCAAAATTCTTGGGAAGGTATTCTGCAGAGTTCGCACTTCGTCAATCTTAGAAATCTCAAAAGTATCAGTCTGACCACCGAACCAAACAGATCTCTGGTGTTCAATTTGCCTCATGGCTGGATTCCTCCTTTCAGACTGTCTTATATCCAGATCGAGAACTGCCAGATCGGTCCGATCTTCCCAATGTGGCTTCAAATCCAGACCGAACTCACTTCTGTCCTACTCCGAAACACGGGGATCTCGGGTCCAATTCCAGACCAGTGGTTTTCTGCAATCGCTTCTGAGATAAGTTACCTGAATCTTGCAGACAACAGAATCAAAGGTAGATTACCTCAGAAACTCGAGTTTCCAAAGCTGAGCACCATTAATCTGACCTCGAATAGCTTCGAAGGGTCTTTTCCTCTCTGGAAAACAAACGCCACTGAATTGCTTCTTTACGGGAACAAGTTGTCGGGCTCTCTTCCACGAGACATCGACGTCTTGATGCCAAGAATGCAGAAGATCTACCTATCTCACAACAACTTTGACGGCGAAATTCCATTGTCTTTTTGCGAAATTTCTGGACTGCAAATCATCTCTCTCAAGAACAACCATTTCTCTGGTGAGTTTCCCGACTGCTGGCATCGGTCCTTCATGCTCTGGGGGATCGATGTATCCAAGAACAATTTGTCAGGGGGGATCCCGAGTTCTCTCGGCCTGTTACCTTCTCTGAGCGTCTTGCTTCTGAGCGGAAATGTTCTAGAAGGTCGAATCCCGGATTCCCTCCAGAACTGCACTGGTCTTACAAGTATAGATCTCGGAGGAAACAAGCTGACAGGAACACTTCCGCCATGGCTGGAAAAGATGTCTTCTCTGTTCATGCTTCGACTGCAAGCAAACTCTTTTGCAGGTCGATTCCCAGATCAGCTCTGCAGCCTTCCTAATCTGCACATTCTGGATCTTTCTGGGAACAAAATATCAGGCCCGATACCAAAATGCATCGGCAATCTCCCTGCCCTCGCTCATGGTACAAGTAGCGAGGTCTTCGAAAATCTGTTCTACACTGTCACACGAGGTCGAGAAAATGGCGAAATTATCAACATCATTAATCTGTCCGGAAACAGTATAACAGGAGAAATCCCCGGAGAAATCTTGACCCTTTCTTACCTGCGTGTACTGAATTTATCGAGGAACTCGATGGATGGAAGCATCCCAGAGAAAATCTCTGAACTGAATCGCTTGGAGACGCTTGATTTATCACGGAACCAGTTTTCTGGGACAATCCCTCGTAGTTTGCCAGCCATAGCCTCTCTGCAAAGGTTGAACCTTTCGTTCAATCACTTAGAGGGAAGAATACCAGAGCTTCTGAAGTTTGACGATCCGTCCATTTACACAGGAAATAAGTTACTTTGCGGGAAACCCCTTCCCAACAAATGCCCAGGAGACACCCACCACAATCGTTTGTCTTAACAAAGCAAAGCAAAAAGGTGTTAAGATGTACCTTGCAAGACAAGTTACCTGATTTCTCGCAACAAGAAAAATGTCATTGCGCATGTTAGGACTGCAAAATGTTGTAGGCATATGAACTCTGCAACTTCAATAAAACAATCATCTTTCTTGATCCTTGCCAAATGCTCTGTGTCAGTCACAATGCTTGTACCTACGGTACACGTTTTGCTTTTGCAAAGGCCCAGGCAGCTCATATATCACTAGGTCTGAGAGACAAACAGCTTTCAGACATGGCCAAACAAACGGAAAATTTGAATGATCAAAATTTAGATCCAAAACAAAATCTAAAGTCAGGCCCTTGAATATGACAAAAGCAGACATTATAATAAGCATAACAGAATTGGAAAGAAATCAAAGAAGATAGAGGCATGTCTGAACTGCAATGCAATGTTCTTCATCATATTCTTGTTGACAGAATACACCAACACCTATTCTGCAAATACATCTCAAAAACTGATACATGACCTGAGCAATCCTCGCATAACAATATATTCAGGTAATGCAAATTCAGAAAAGCCAATTAACACTGATGTTACCGAGCCAGATCAAAAGAGGAAACTGGGCTAAAGCCAAAAAGAGCAGGAGGTAGTGATGTCTGCTTGAGTCATAAGTCCTGACTTCTGCAAAGAGGACTCGCTTCATCGTCTTCACCAAGAAAACCCCCGAGCACAAGCAGGTCCACGGGATCAATGCATAGTACGAGTATCCCCAAATTATCTTTCCAACAACGGCGAGACAGAGCCCTGTAAAAGTATAGCCTGCATATGCCACGATGTCCAAGAAGGGTGCTTCTCCGCTACCCAACGACCACAACATTACTTTCAGCATCATGAATTGCAAAAACCAGCCAACCAATCCTTTCACAAACAGCCAATTCAAAGCTTCTGGAGTAAACCTAGAGAATTCAAGTTGACAACAAAGATGACAAGTTTGTCAGCAAAACCACTAGCTGGTTATATAACTCAGCCTGAGGACAGAAATTCTCTTGGAATGCACATTTAGCAATGTAAAGGACGTGTTAAATTTACAATCTAAGAGAGAAGCAAATGAAGTGGGAAAAAAAAAACAGAAACTTACTTCCCGTTAAGTCCCAATGATAGTCCAGCAAGAACAACATAGGTGCCAAATGCCATGAACGGAATGTACAAGTCTGGCGCATTTATATCATAGATCGGTGGCTTGTACGAGAGTCTGCCCCCAACCGGTTCTGATATTCTAGTCCAATGCCCCTGAGGTTGAAGCAAAACCCACACTAATTACAGGCTGGTATTTGGAGAACCCGAAAAAGAAAAACATGAAAAGAGACAAGCTTACCCTGTGCAGAAATGGAAACAAAACCACCTTCAGTTTGTTCCTCACATATTGATCATTCACTTGAAAATAGTATTGCGGATCAGAGAAGTAACGGCTTATCTGTCAATTTCAAAACCAGTAAAACTCGATGAAAACCAGACATTACACGCGTATGTGAGAACCGGAGAAACCTGAATCACCTACGTTGCTCTGGACATACTCAGAGCTGGATCCCAGAATTCTCTCCCCATACGCTCCCAAACCGCTACGGATAAACCCGGAGCCAGGTCCAGAAAATGCATTCCCAAATGGACTTGGCTGAGGGTTTCCCGGAGCTCTTGGCATACCGGGCTGAGGCCCCACATTATTGTACATCTCTGCCATTGAACAAACTAACAAAGTCAATGTAATGTTTTCTACTTTAAGTTAGATTTTATTGTTTGATTATTCGTATTTCTTGTATACACAACCAAATCGAAATCCTGAGTGCCCGGGAAAACTATAAATGATTAGAGAAAGAACTCGTATTGAAGGATCCTAATTCGACCACTTTCGCGACGCGATCTACAAGCATCCTTAAACATCAACAGAATAAAATCATATAATCCAGCGACGCGAAATTCCACAACTTCGAAATTCAACAAATAAGCAAGTCCTGACACAATCGATCCAATTAGATCAAATCTAAGATCCAATCAATCACCGAGGATCGTTAAAACTAAAACATAAGGAGTAAAAATCGATTTTCGATGTAAAGAACGCGGAAGAAACACTTACCTGCAGCTTAGCTGATGCAAATGATAGTTAGAGGTACCAAATTAGGGTTTTCTTCTACGATACAGAGAGAGAGAGAGAGAGAGCGCGAGAGTCGCAAACTCAGATCAGAGCCCGAAGATGCCGCCGAGCGCGTCAAGTGAATAACGCGTACGGTGTTTCTGGGGTTTACGAACTTTCACCACTTTCCTCTGCTTTCTCGTATTTACAATTATACCCATATCTTTAATTTTGTCTCCCATATTTCCTCATATTATCTCTTCGTTCAGTTTAAACCCCATGAGATGATACTATATCAATAAGCCACATAAGATAGAGAAAAATAAATAAATAAATAAAAAAGACTAGGATATTTTATTATGTTTAAAAAGTATAAATTTTGTATAAATGAGGGTTAGTAATCTGTAGAATTTTATTCGACTGATAGAATTATCATTGATTAAATATTCATTCGTGTGGATTTTATAATCGATTTTTGTGTCGATTTTTATTATAACGCGTTCATTTAAATATATAAATGATAATCTTTAATAGCATTAAAAAATAAAAACTATATTCTTTCATCATTTTCGTAAATTTAAAATTTAGAAAAATGATAAATCTTTTTTATAGAATCTACCAGTAATAATATTAATATATCTATTTTGTCATGAGGATTGGCTTGAGGATGATAAAATAGTGAGGCCCAAAATTTTGTGTGGTCCTCCTCACTCCTCACCAGTTTGGATGGCTGAGATGTTTCGACGCCATTGTTGCAGAAGCTCTTGTTATTGTCATTCTTTTTCCCTTTTTTTTTATCTCTTTGCAAAAAAAAAAAAAACCGTAGATAAGAGAATATGGGTTCGTTGGCATTCTCCGTCTGCAATTGCTATCCAAAAGATCTAAGAAAACCCATTTACAGAAATCTTGTGAAAAGCTCAAAAACGGCAGAAACAATCTCTGCAGGAGCGGTTGTTGAACCAAAGGGACCGCGTTTAAGCTCTGTCCGTTCAGCTCCGTGTAAGAGAAGAGAAGCGCTCGGTCTCGGTTTCGGCCTCTGCGTCGGCCTTGTAGACTTTGCGTTGAAGCCCGAGGACTCTTCCGCTTCTTCTTCTTCCTCTTCTGAGACAGCTTCATGTGAGTTCTCAGTGTCTCCTTCAGGACTTGCTTTCTGCGACAAAGCAGTTGGGTATGGCCCCGAGGCTGTCAAAGGGCAACTGATTAAGGTATCATCATCAAACAATATCCAGAACCCACAAAAGAAAATGCGGTTTCAGATTTGTACTTTTGACTAAGCAAAGTGAGAAGGCGAGCTTTAGAATCATGATGATGTCTGCAGGCACATTATGTGGGGAAGCTTGTGAATGGGAAAGTTTTCGACAGCAGTTATAACAGAGGGAAGCCATTGACGTTCCGCATAGGTGTGGGCGAGGTTTGTATCTACTCGCGATCCGTCGAAACACGTATGTAAAGGACAGATCAGTTTAGCTGGCAAAAATCTCCATGGAAACATGCTGTTATCCATACATGGTTCATGACATGAAAATGAAACTGGAAGAACATAAAGGAGTGGTTATGTACATATATAGATTCTCTTTCGGTGTATCGAATTTGTATCATGGATCGGGGATGGGTTATATAAACCGATGGTTCGATCGAATATGAACATCAGTAACAAACAACTCACTCATATCTTGCAGGTGATCAAAGGCTGGGACCAAGGCATCCTCGGCGGTGATGGAATCCCTCCTATGCTCGCTGGTACGTACGGTGCTACAAAATGATCGTCTCTGGTTCAGACAAACATCATTTGAAACATAGTCTTGAAACGTAGATTTCCGTTCCAAACTTGCGTTTTCCGTTCCGAATTTGCGTTTGCATCCAGCGGTTTTCGGGTATTCCATACGATGAATGTGTGAAGTTTTTAGTGTAACATTTCTTATCATATTATATATCTCTATGTTCTCTCTTCCTTCAAATTCTTGGAAGTTTTGTGTCTGTTTTTCCTCTTTCATTTACACAATGCATTAAGGAAGATAAAAAAGATAGGAAGCTTGTTAATGTATACAATACATTGGCCATCAATTCATGCATGTCGTCGTCTGCAGGTGGGAAGCGAACGTTGAAGATTCCTCCAGAACTCGCCTATGGCGACAGAGGCGCCGGTTGCAAAGGAGGTACCAAAAAAAATGATAATTAGACTAGGATATATATATATATATATATATATATATATATATATGATGAAAGATACAATTTTATTTTTTAATTTTATAGATAATTCGTTAGGTTAAAGGATTATATAAATAAAATAAAAAACCCTAATATCTTATTTGCAAATGATAGTTTTTAACCTAATGTTTTTATATATAAATAAGCCTTAAAAGGATAATTTTTGCAGGCTCCTGCATCATTCCTCCTGCTTCAGTGCTTCTCTTTGACGTCGAGTTCATAGGAAAGGCTTGAGAGCTCCTTATACGGGAGAGTGGACCATGATCATCATTAACCACATACTCATGTAAAAACCCATCATCATCATCATCATATCATATATATGTCTTTGATGCTTTGGTTTATTATTATTATTATTATTATTATTATTATTATTATTATTATTGTAACAATGTAAGTGGAATCCAATTCGTTATTGTTCTTTCTTATAGTTATAGTGGATGGAATGTATAATTTCAGGGTCTTGTTGCTCCACACTGCAAGTGTAAAGCTTCAAAAGTAGATTTTTTCAATTTTTGTAAAAATGAATATATATATATATATATATGAACAAATTGTGTATAAGGAGATCGCATGCAACATAGAAGCCCATCATTTTTAATGGGCTCATGAATGATGAGTTGGACCTGTTAGGCCCGTATTGTTTTAGAAGAATATCCCAGCCTCAAACAAGATTTTAGAGATTTTTCTTAAACCCTATAAAACCAACACGACGTCAATTAGGGCGGTTTCCCCTTCCCTTGGAAAACCCTAATTTGGTTCCGCTTGTTTTGGGTGATCGGAGCAACAATGGCGAAGTCTATGAGATCGAAGAGAGAGAAGAGACTGAGGGCTATTCGAAGAGATATAGTGCAGAAGGAGACTTTCCATCAGAAGAAAGAAGATGCCAAGCTCGCCGCTCTTGAAGCTGCCCTCGCGGCCCCAAAGTTGCCCGTTCGTCAACCTCCGACTTCTCCGTTCATGGAGGTTACGCCCTCAACTTCTAATCCCGCCGACGAATCCTCCTCTGCTGCCGGTCCAGGCGCCAACGATATGGGTATGTTCGGTTTCTCTGTCTATTGCTTTAGTTTCTGAGGATAGAAATTCCGTCCTTCCTTTGTCGTTATTGATGAACTGAAGTGTTAGAATCTGATATCTGATTACTGTGGAGATTAAATGCGTAGCCCATGCCTTGTTCTCTTGGTAGAATTGTTATTCAACCTGTTTAGTTTCAGGAACCTGTTGTTTGAATTGTTCATCGTCTAAATATGCTTATTTGGTATGTCAATCTTTCGACGAAGTGGTCGATCTGGGTTTAGATAAGCGATGCCCAAAGCACCGACTTTCCCTTTGGGGGCTATTTTAGGTCTAGACATTGTTTCGGCATCCAATTCATTACGGTTGCTTGTGTAGGTGTGTGTCACTGTGTTGTGCTGCTGAAATCTTTGTAGGTTTGACACTTCATTTCTGATGTTGGTGACGCTAAAAAAACACATTCGATCCTTCTTCTCCACCTGTGGTTCCGATTTGTATTAGCAATGATCCATAATACCTAAGGATGTAGAATCTTGTGCTTAGGAACTCATTTTCCTTCTGGAGATGTGCAAAGCAAACCAGAGCCATCCTAACGCCAACGTAGTTTTATGGCTACTAGTGTTGAACTATAGTGATTTAATGACAGTAAAAAAAACAGCATTCGACCTTCCTTTTCTACGCATAAATCCGATTTTATATTAGCAAAGCTCCAAAACATTCTGCCATAGGATGTATATGTGAAATAAGGGTTTGAATCTTGTACTTAGGAACACATTTTTCTTCCAGAGATATGGAAATTAAACCCGTGCCCACCTAGCGCAACGTAGTTCTATGGTTACTGGAATTGAACTACGGTCAGCTGCCATGATAAAGTTCATCACTTTCTTTGAATACTCAAGTGTGGTATACTGTTTCTAGTGTGGCTTTGAAAGCGATAAATTCTAATGAATCATAATCTGACATTGTGTGGATCTCATCCCGTTTTCGCAGACGTGGAAAGTGCTGACGAGAAACAAAACAAGTCGTTGAAGCCGATCGGCAAGAAGCTGAAGAAGAAATTCAAATTGGGGAAGAAGAACCGCCGTGGCAAGGGTCTCCTACGGGGGAAGAAGCATATCTAATCTACGCAATTCTGAGAGCCAGTCTCCCTTTCGTTTCTTATGCAATATTTCTGAAAATGTAGCATTCCTTTGTTTTGTGGTTTTCTTGGATACAATATCTTCTTCCGTATTGATATCAAGAAAATCAGTTGTCGTCTGAGAAGAAATCTTTTAACTATATATACGTCCATATATATGTATGTATATATATTCATCTGTAGGCGCAATCAAGCGCGCAGTAATACTTGTTTGGATATAGCAGCCGAACATAATGTTTTCATGGCAAAACCAAATCCAAAACCCTAAAATTAGAATAATCCGGGCTTTGGAGGTATCCGACGTACCCGAATATTAAAGATGATGAGATCGAATATTAATAAGGCTAAGTTTTCGACCCCGAATCTGAGCGGGTTCAATTATTTTACCCGATATATTTCTTAAAAATCTAAAATTTATTTTATATTTATAATATTTTTATTTAAATTATTTTTATTATTTACTAAAATATTTTTATTTTAGTTCATTTTTTTTATATTTTTTAAACCTTTCTATACAAAAATTCTACCATTACAAATCTCATTCTATACAACCGAATCAACCATTTATCTTTCTCTCAAAATTTTACTCATATCTCTTCATCGTGAATTTTTTCTCTTTATACTTTGATCTCTTTCATTTGTACTTTCTATATCTATCATTTCATAATTCAAAATTTTATAAGTCGTATGAGTTTAGGTACCCGCGAGTACAAGACCGAGAATCTCATTAAACGCGAGCTATAAGTACCCGAATTTTATGAAACCTGAGATAATATTTTATAAAATTTGTGGTGATGAAGACGAGACAAAGTTTTTTAAAAAATTGGAGGTACCCGACACGTGTCCATATTAGTATTAGTTTGTTACAAATATCAAAAACAATAACTATAAAGAAGTAAAGATGGAAAGAAATGAAAAAAAAAATGTATATATAAAAAGGACCATCTATTATATGTATGTATACATTAATTATGTAAAAATTTATTCACCATAAATTTTCTAAATTCATATAAAGAGGAACTTTTAGTAGTGTTATCTATATAATAGAGATTCTCTTTATCAAAATGTAGCATTATTTTTGTCATATTTATATACAAATTGCAAAAATATTTTTCACCAATAAAATATCAACAACACTCAATATATCACTTGAGAATAATTCAAATACCCTACACACATATTTCAATACTTATTTTTCCAGATTTCATATAACCACCGCATTTAAGAAACATATGCAACAACGAGGGAGAAATTTGATTTAATTTTTAATTTTGTTTGGATGGGGGGGTAAAGAAAGAAACTAAAGGAGCAAAAACAAGATAAATAAAGTAGGCCAAAGATGTAATTTCGGAAATTTAAGGGGAGAAAAAGATAAAAAGGTAAGAAAGCGATTGTTCACAGCAGCTTTGGATGCCCAGTGTCTGTCTGACTCGCTTTACACGCAAAACTATGTCGTTTTTTTTTTTACTTTTCTTTTTTTATGTTTTTGCCCCCTTTTTTCCCCTTTTTCTATCTTTATAGCATGCAAATATCGTCTTGAACAATAAAAACCCTAAAGCCCATGCACAGTAATTACGTCATCATTTTGTCCCTTTCACCCTTTTCTTTTTCATTTTCCAACTTTGTTAATCAATCTCTCACTGATTTTACCCGCATGAATACAAAACATATTCAGACATCATATTGAAATTTCAGACCTTCATGTGCATCTTCATGATCCTCTCCCTTGTACTCATATTGCCAGTTTTTGGGACCTATGTGAGTTGACCACGTACGGTATATACACTCGAGAATTCACTAATTAATAAATTAATACGCATAAATTTGATATATACTATGATCTAAATCTAATATTCAAAATACCCAACACACCTATGTGTTAATTTGTTGGAATATTCACCAATATGGAAATTTCTACGCAGCATTGTAAAATATACAATGTGCATGAGGATGATATTTTACGTTAGGTTTGCTTCATTTATATCTATACATATGCATCATGTGTATGTGTGTATGTGCATGGAAATTTGTGTAGGAGTGTGACCACCGACACGTAACAGAAGCGTTGGGTTATATCCCAATTTAATTGTTATAAATTTTTTTAACTATTTAATCACCGTAACTATAAATTCATTAACATGATTGAAGCTCAAATCCGATGCAAATATATTGTGTAAAATTAAATCAAGGTACTCGAATGATTTTCACGTGTGAATGTAATCGTAAACAGACATATATAGCGAACAATATTCTTTTTTTTTTCTCAGAAAATCACTGAAGAAATATTTTATACAATAAGCTTCTACATGCATATAAACTTAGTGTATAGATATATAGATATAGACTTATAGAAATATAGATATATATATATAACTCTCTACCTATTGGAGATTGGATTAGGACCACTTGGGACTTCATGCTCATTAGCACCGTACATCTTCTCCTTCTGCCATGGCCGGCGAGCCCTAAACGGCAGTCTACTCCTCCCCGTCGGAGAAGGCACCGCCGTAGGATGACCGGCGATTCTTGTCTGTCGATGAGACGTACTACTTTGGTGAACCCTAGGGGGTGACGTCATCGTCACACGGTGAAGATTGGTGCTTTGTTGATAAGGTTCAATGGAGTTTTGATGGGATTGGAGGAGGAAAGAGAGGAAGAGCAAGAGAGTTAAAGAGGTGATTATGTGAGGAAATTTCATCGCATGATCACTTGCCATGCAAGTCAACAGATATGAATGTGTGTGTATATATATATATATATATCTCTATATGATAAGAACTTATGTATCATGCGAAAGAATGATCTCTGTTTTCAGATTCGACGAGTTATTAGAAATCGAGATATGGGTTTTTAAAATTGTGCGAGAAGAAAATACCTGAACTTAGGGCTTGTAGATAGATAGATAGATAGATAGAGAGAGAGAGAGAGAGAGAGAGAGGTTTTTCGAAATTAGATGTTTTGTGTTTGAATGGTTGATTCAAAGCCGTGGAAATGGTGAAGACAAAAAGGTTGGGAAAAAAATATTAAAGAAAAGCAGATATGGTAAGATATTACTTTGGTTGTGTGAGTCTGAGGTTGATGGGGGAGGGTAATTATAAAAAGCATTTATCCACATCGTGTTACATGCATTTCCAGATCCTATATTTAAAAAATATACGTATTTGTATCGGTGCAAGTGGTACATATACGTATGTTGAGTATGTTATTTTGTTTCCTTTTTTAATGACTATGTAGTAAAAATTCTACCCTCATTTTGGAGTCTACGCTTATTTTCAATATCGATTTTTGTAACTGAAATATACGTTTATATGTATATATACACACATCTTAAAATTTATAAAAGGTTAACTAGGCAAACTTTTCATAGTTGATTTGAATTCAGTTTCATATATATATATATATATATATGTATTATATGTATGAAGAGTGATTTTTATAGCGATAGTGATAACACTAACACATGTATGTAGTCTTCAACGTCATTGAAATCAGAACGTTAAGAGGAGGTCCAGAATGTATGTATATGTACAGGACAAAGACAAAACCCGCCAATTGATTTGGAAGGGTGCATGCATGTCGGAAACAAACACAAACCGACGTACAAATTTTGTCTTTCGCTCTATGCAAAAAAGAAAGAGAAAAAGGAACGATAAACCTTTACAAAATAAAAATAAAAACAAAACCCAGAAATAAAAGCCAAAGAGTATCTTCCAATAAGATTTTAACAATATATACCATGTTCATATTTGGCAATTTCTAGTCAACGGTCAAATTAAATATCTTTCTGGTTGTCGTCATTAATACTCCTCGCTCCCAGAATTATTACCGATTTTTTTTTTCACCCTTTTAAAAGACAACAGTTTCACGAGTTTTAGATTTTAAAAAATATACCTTTATATATCATATATATATAGTTACTGTATTTAGTATGTAAAAGCTCACACAAACATTTAAATTCCCGTTTTTTACTTTGAATATATTAAAATTTTGGTTGTGTAGATACATGGAAAACAGATATTAGAGAGAGAGAGATGGAGAGAGAGAAAATATATATCTTAATATATAATATCACCTGAAAATTAATATATGAATACATTTTTTAAAATCAATTACTCTAACAAAAATGGGAGAATTTTTAATTAAAAGGGGGGGGGGGATTCAAGAAAAATTACTTGAAATACGAAAGTGAATATTCAAACAATTTGAAAATAAAAAATTTCGATTCAAAATCATTACACAATCTCCTCCTCACATTAGTTTCGATGATTTTCGCAAAATTCCAATCATACCGTAAAGCCTTTCCCGCCGCCGCCGTGGGCCGTAACAAGATTGAGGTGGAGGAGAAAGACGATGAGGAGAAGCTTTATATATATATATACATATATATATATATATATATATATACATGTCTTAATTTTGTACATCTTCATGCATGATCACAGTCTTCAAGATCATGTACATATGAGTTGTTATAGATGCTGCACGCATGTGGATGTACGTCGTATAATATATGATTCTAATGTATATTTGTCTGTGGTTAACAATTTAGTAAACAAATATTTTGAAATATTGAAATGAACATTTTGACTTGCGTTGCTATATACTATTTATATATACCTATGTATGTATGCATGTATATGTGTACGAAAGTTTATCTGAATTAATATAACATCAGAAGCTAATTATTTTTTTTCTTCAAAAAATAATATACAAACTGATATATATATATATATGTATGTATGTATGTATGTATGTATGTATAAACTTATATTTTGCATACATATGCGCGGGCTTAACCCTGGCCCAGCTATGTGGGCCTCGAGTATACGAGTTTGTGAGCCCAATAAACGAAACCATACATTACATAAAATATCTCGATAGAAAAATCTATTGGATATACCTTTTAGAAAAAAATAATCAATTGAAATCCAAACGAACATGCAAACCGAATGATTGCAACATGATTCCGTTGTTAATAATATTTGTAACGATTTTCAAAATGTTAATAATCGATATACTGCAAGTTTCTTGGCAAAAAAAAAGTTACAAAAGAGCAACGAAATTAGCATTTTTCACGAGGACTTTCATTTTCCTCTGAGAATATAATCGCTATTAAATTGTTATTTGTTAGGGTATATATCGACGCAGCTATTATGACAAAAAACAATTAATGTGGGAACGTGAAATGCGCATACGTGACAATATATATATATATATATATATATATTATACATAAAAACTTAATATATTCCATGATAAGTGGGGGCCACTTCCGCCGACTGTCCTGACGTGGGACCCACATGACTTCAGACCTTAACAGACGGAAAAGCACGTGGCCCAACTGCCGAAAACCGACACCCAACCTCCCCCGACATTAACGTAGACATTTTAAAGTTTTTTTTTTTACATGTTGAATTATTTTATTACTGAATTTAATCCGATTTTTGTTTGGATTTTGTGTATATTTAATTTTGATTATAATTTTTTTTCTGATATTTCAGTCTTTTAGGAAATTTACATCTTTTCATTTTTCGCATCAAATTCAATTTATATATGGTTATGAAAATAAAACCGGAATGATACCGTTTTACACACATCGGAATCTAAACGTAGAAAACATATCACGCGAATCTTGCTTACTCGATTGTATTCTATTTATACTAATTTTAATTCAAGTTAGATTTCGAATATATTGCATTTATATAATTTTCACTCATATATATATATGTTAGGTTTGATTGTTCATAGCATCGGTCGGTCTATTTATATTCTGTATACTACTTTTTTCTGCTGCATATTTAATGTATGTAGTCCAATAAAAGATAAAAAATGATCTGATATAAATATTGACATAATTTTTACGCACAAGATAATTTGTTAAAAAAAATAAACAAAAAAGATAAATTGTTTTAGGGCTCATATACGCATTGCAATATTTTCGTCAATTACTTAGTCATGCACAGTGAAAAGTATGCAACCTTTTTTTTTGTTAAAGGTCTTTCCACATTTAATTAAGTTATTAGGAATATAATTATTTATATATATATTTATATTATATTTCTGGAACCATTTGATTCGACATGAAATATGGCAAATCACACGTAACGCATGAATCATGACATGCATGACGGATTTGATTCCCATGCGTCATTGTCATCTCAACAACTAAAAACTCCTTTTATCGTCTAACTATAATATATTTATTGTTTTTTTTATTAATACTATTACAAGTACTTTTCAGAAAATTTTTAAAAAAATCTACATAACTATTTGCTATTTTGCAGTTATATCGTTAATTAATTTATGTAATATTTATAGCATCTAGCTTGAAAAATACCACTATTTATTTGCCAAAATCATTAGCAACCGGTTTCAAAACCACAATTTGAACCAATAAACTCCGAAATAAGCACGTTGATTAAAATAATAAATAATTGAATATCTAGATACTTTATTTGAAATAATTCGATATTTGACTATGGATATGGCGACAGGTGGAGATGACGATGAACCGACATGGCACGAACTAGGCGCCACATTAGACATGTCTGTTCTGTCGTCATCCTTGCTTCCCTTCCCTATACACAAATTAATAGACGACACATATATACACACACACACGTAACATGCATGGATTGCATTGAAAACAAAACTAGAATTATGATGGGTTTTTATTTTTTATCATATAACTAAACACACACACACACACACACACACATATATATATATATATATATACACACGTATAATTAGTAAGTCGGCCAAAAAAAAATTGATGTGATATAAATTTTCATTTGAGAAATATCCCATTTGAAAGTTAAATTGCGCATCAATTTACATTGCCATTTTTTTAAAGCAATACGTGATCTGGTAAACAATTTTGAATATTGTAAACGGATACACATGATGCTTTGTTAAATGCATTTTATATTAATTTATGTATTTTTTTAGTTTACCGTGTTTGTGAATATAAAATTTCGAATTATGAGAGAAGTGTATTGGATAATATTGGTTTTAAACAGTAATCAATTGAACTAAGAACATACAAAAATTGATATCATTTATAAAATGTAGGTATTTAAATTCTAAAAATTTGAGGAGTTGTGCACAATGTTTAAATGTTTGAATTTTTTAAAATAAAAATAGTTTGGAAATTTCAAATTTCAAATTTAGAAAGAATATACTTTAAAATGTGTAGAATCGGAAGGATTGGACTCGTTTATTTCGATTAATTTTAATTAATAAATTATCTCAGTTACTAATAAATTATAAAAGTGACCGCCCAAAATCCATAATATTGGTGGGCATAATCAGATTTTAAATATTATTTTTACCAAATCTTAGTGTCTTAAAAATAATTTAGATTGTAAACGTTATCCACTCGTATTTATTTAGGGTTACGGGTCAAATTTGGTCTGACGCAAACAACTGAGCCGATGCATCAATTATTTAATTAATTATGGATAAAAGAAAAAGAAATAGACAATCCAAACCGAAACAAATGCAAATGCAATATTTGACCAGACAAAGCATATGACACGTGGCACGTTGTGGGGCACACTGATAAGTTCGGTGAGGGACAAAAGTCACAAAACCCACCATCGACTCCTCAGAAGATCTCGGCCGCATCTCTCATGGGTTGCAACGTCATGTTCTTCGAGGCGCGTCCCAATCGTGACATTTATATTCGGTGCCACGTGGCAACGTTTTCATGCATATATGAAAAAAAATGTGTATATATAAATAAATATGAAAGGAAAATCCTAAAAATATCATCTTATGTTCGTTAAAAATGTTTAATATTTAATTTGATAAAAAATATACTAATTTCTTAATATATAAAAAAGTTATATGAACTTTTAAAATTGATGTATATATGAGATTAATTTATATATGTGTGTGTGTGTGTGCATAGAGTGTATATATGAATTGAATGCATTAAAGTTGGTTGGCAGTAAAGAGTGGGTTTTTTTAGGCAAAAGGATACTTTTTGACTCGTTTTTTCATTTACCTTTTTTTTTATATGTTTAGTTTAATTTCATAATATTTATTTTTTATTAATGATATTATATCTCACATTTTAGCTCTTGTTGATACTCTTCCAACAGCTGAATTTCAACTCTCTTTTTAGAAATGGTGGGCTTTTCAACTATGAAACTCAAAATGATATAACTAAATATACTAAATTGTAAGGGATTAAAAATTTTCAGAAATTGAATTTGTATTAGATTTGTTATTATTTTTCCTCAAATAATGGCCCGTCATAAAAATGAGGGTCCATTATTTTCAGAACGAATTGCCTTATTAATTAGAATATAATATTTTCTTTATTGGACCCAATGATGATTATATATTTTCTAATTTATTTCGATTTTAAAAATATGTATTTTCTCTTTATATTGGTTACTAATTCATTCTGATCATATTAGCATGAACATATGGGGAAATAAAAATAGTCGGAAATTAAGGATGATCATTTTTTCAATTTCAGTTTAATTAGATGCAGTTTAATTATATTCGGACCACTCTTGGTTTTAAAAAAAATATAAATATTAGGTTTATATTGAATTCGATTTGATTCAAATAGGTTCAAATTAAATTAACAATATTTATCTAAAATAAAAAGTACAAATTCGAATTGTTAAAAATAAAATATTTATTTTTATCAATGTCTTTTTACCTAATCCAATTGTAGAAAAACTTTTATTAAGTATAACAATTTGTAATATTTTTTTTATGTTGTTGAAACGGATAAGATAAAAAGGACTATTAATATAATAGATAAAAAAAGAGTGAGGACTATGAATCACAATGCACACACTCATCTATCTCATATGACGGGAAAGGAATAATCGCATTTTTCGTTTTCTGCAAACTGACTCTAATTTACTCAGGCACAAACTCAACCGACAAGTACGAAATATTATTTTGTCCAAACAAAAAGGCTCGTCACCAGGAGAGAACCTGCTCCTACAAGATTGGTTCTATTTAACAAGACCACCATGACATCTTTAGCTACTATTGCCTCTTTTGTACATTCCCCTGGTGTGAAAGTTTTCAATTTTGATATACGGTTTTGCAACCGTGATGTATTTGTAACTGATCCTTTTTTTGAATAATATATTCACATTTCAAAAAAAAGAAAGATAAAAAGAGAGTAATAAAATGAGTGATTAGTTAATACCGTTAATGTGGTCCACTTGAGTGGTCAGACAGTGCTCAAGGCAACTAAATAAATCAATAAATCAATCAATTAATTAATAAATATATCCACCGGTCAAACAGAGACTACCTAAATTTATATATTTGTTCAAAGTTAAAAATTAAAATTCTCTGAATTTTGTAGCAGGTGGTTCGTACGTATATACATACATACATACGTAGGTACGTATGTACATACATGCACAAGTAATTAATGTTGTCTTTGATGTATGGAAGAAAAATAAAAGTTTTTGAGAATATTTTTCTGTCCATAAATTTTGGTCGGTCTCATAAATCTAATTGGGAAAATAAGTAAAAGAAGAAAGAAAATATAAATTTTTATAAATTTTTTAGGTCAATAAAAAACGAACTTTTGTATGAAACAAATAAAAATCTCAAACTTTTACAAAAACTAGTACTAAACGTTTTGAAAAAAAATTTATTTAAAAATGTAAAACTTGAATTAGGTGGAGGGCTAGAAAATATAAAATTTTAGAAATTTTTGCGGTCAATAAAAAACGAACTTGTGTATATGAAACAAATAAAAATCTCTCTTTTACAAAAAAAAAAATGTAAACTTTTTGAAAATCTTTTATTTAAAAATGTAAAATTTGTATAGGTGGAGGGTTTTCTTTGGGTTTTGGAGAGGAGAAGAAGCCGTTTTCCTGGGAAGCCGCCTCCTCATCTTCTTTTATAAGAAGCCCTGTCGTCAATGGCGTGAACCTAAAACCCTTCTCTCTCTCACTCACAAAAGTTTTCCCTCTTTCCAATCGTTTTCATGCTCTTCCCGTTTTCCTTATCCAAAACCCAGAAACTAGTTTTTGAGATCCAAGTGTCCGGGAACGCACTCGCCGGTTCTGACCAGGTACTGTGTCGCGTTTCGACCGCT